TATATATATATATACATATATATACATATATATATGTGTGTGTGTATATATAAAAAAAATATAGGTCTGTATAGTGTGTGAGCCAGCTCAGCTGTTTTTAGCAGCTCACATTCAGTTGGTCAGAGTCTTTTTATTTCATCTTTTTTACACGTTATGTGCTTTTATTCCACGTAAACCTTCTGGCTGTTGCTCGCTGTGTGTGCAGGACGGCGCACGCTGTCCTCTTCTCCAATTATGAAACCTAATAACCACAATCTGAGCTACCATACTGTAAATGTACCTGTGGGATTTTAATGCAGCTAATGAGAAATATGCAAAACACATCAGTAAGAATATGGAACAGTGGGGAAAGCCATGGTAACTTATGTGCCACTGCTTTGGTGAAACAGAGTAGCGGATAGATTAAGCCGGGATCTCTGGAAAAACCAACAAAGCGGAAATTTGTCTCTAAACCCGAGTCACATTTCCTCTCGTATGCATGACGATCGGATGTTCAGGTTAAACGTGGCCAAGGCTTCAAATAATGAGTCTTTAAAAGAACCACCTGTCAGCCAAAACCTCACATTTCCCACGGCCCTGAACGCCCCGGTTCCAACAGGTTTTTCTCCTCTCAGGCCCCGTCCACCACGCAGGACACCACGCAGGACACCACGCAGGACACCACGCAGCTCGGAGCAGATTTTGGTGTGTGGGAACGAAACAAGTGAACGTGCAGCAACAGGAAGTTGATTTGATGATTGTGACGTGAGTCTGGAAGAAGAAGAGCTCGTCTCAGTTTGAGAACAGAAGCAGATGTTTGAACCTCTGGACCTGAAGCGGGTCTGAAGAAAACACATGACACCAACACAGATAAACACACAGACTTCAGGTCAGCTCTTAAACTCTATTTATCACATTTTCATCCTCATACATTTACACAGACCAGATCCTCCCCCAGCAAAACCGGTTCAACCAGTAAAACCGGATCCAACATTTACACAGGATTAATTTTAAGGCACATTCAGGTGATTCATTCATATGAACAATAAAGATTTTTGGTCTGCAGAGAAACAAACAAACCTGTCGACAAAAAGCTGATTCAACACACAGACATGTGTTACTATCCTCGTGGGGACCCGTCAGCATATAATGCGTTACCGGGCCCCTGGCCCCTACCTGGCGCCTATCTAAACCAATTCCAAGCTGAACCCTCAAAACGGCCCTTTGAACTTCCAGCATGTTGGACCCCACGAACACAGTAAAACACACACACACACACGGTGTGATTCAAAGTTTATCTGGATAAAAGCTGTTTGGTCCAATCTGGATCAATATCTGGATCAATGCTGAGACGAGCACCTGGCAGACGGACTCGTGGTGATTTTTGGACTCTGGTTGTCGTTTTGGTCGACAGCTGATCAGTTTTTAAATTAATCACACGTCAAATGATTTTATTAAAACAAACTTTGGGAAACGTTTATCAATCACAACCTGATTATCGAGACCTTTACAGGTGGACTTTGGACTCGAGACCCCCGTGAGACTGAAACTCACCAGGAACACACACACAGTCAGGGCCGGGTGTTTAGATCTGGATCCGAAGTGAAACTGGTTTCTGGAACCACCGATCGATCCGTTTCTGATTCTGTTTGTAGATTCTGAGTTTGAACCTGCTGAGCTTCTGTCACACCTGTCAGGTAACCCACAGGGCCCAGGACCCAAGGTTGTTAATCTGGATTAAAGACTGTTAATCTGGATTCCAGGTTGTTAGTCTGGATTCCAGGTTGTTAGTCTGGATCTGACTGTTAACCTGGATTAAAGTCTGTTAATCTGGATTCCAGGTTGTTAGTCTGGATCTGACTGTTAATCTGGATTCCAGGTTGTTAGTCTGGATCTGACTGACTGTTACTGGACTGCTTGTTAATTTCTTTCCATATTATTCTCATAGTTAATCTTGTGTTTAAAGGTTTCTACAGTTTGACGCTCTCTGAGCTGTGACAGTATAAATAAAGTTTATCAGGATTAATAATCCACCAGGAGTCGCCCGAAACTCGGTGGCTGTTCAGTAACTTTACGAATATTCAGTGAACTTTTACACACTTATTTGGTTTCGGTTCTTTCTTGAGAAATTGAGACACAGGATTCATCAAGAACCAAGATCTGGATCAGACCAGACCTAAACCCCCGTTCATTACCCATAATCCCACCAGTAAAGCCCGGACCATGTGACCCAGCAGCGCGGATTGTCACTGATTTTCAAAATAAAAGGCTTGTGCAGGAAGCGTTGCAGCAGCAAGGCAGCCGATTGGTTCCAGTCAGCAGCCAATCAGAGACGAGTCTTCGAGGCAGCGAAAGTAAACACAAACTCTCAGTCTGTTTGTGCAGAAACAAGAAGAATCACAGAAACACGGTGAGTCCAGCACGTCTGGTCCACAGGAACCAGAACTTTAAAGATTCAAGTGTCAAAGGCACGTTTGGTCTTTACTGCATCAGTCCAGCTCTCGCCCTCCGTCAGCTGAACGCCGCCGCTCGCCGTCACGGTTTCCCCACGTCCACGGTGATCTTGGTGAACAGCGGGAACTTTTCTGTCTTCAGCACTTTGTAGGACAAAGACTTGATCCCGTCCTTGTGCATCGTCTCTCTGGTGTGGGCGATCCGGTCGAACCTGGCAGAACAGAACACAGGTGGAACCTTTACCCAGCAGTTCACCGGTCGAGACCGGACCCCCCCTCATCAGATCTGATTGATCGGTAAGCGGTGGCGTGGAGAGGGCGTGGTGAGTCGTTACCTCTGAGGATTCGGGTCATTCTGTTTGTCTCTCTGGTGTCGGATCATCCGGCACTTTCCCACCTCGCCGCTCGGCCTGGAGATCGACATCCCACTAGACGCCAGCCTGGAAACACACAACAGCGCCGATGTCAGAGGTCACAGCAGGCGACCGGCACGAACACAAACAGTCTACAGATGCATTCTGGGTAAACTGGGACACAAACATCTGCTGGAAACTAAGAAGGGAAGCATCAGACCAGAATCGGTCCAATCAACAGATCGATCACCAACACCGATTGGTTCGTTTCTGCTGCTGCCGAGTCAAAACCGATAAACTCGGAGTGATGCTTTAACGATATGTTTCAGTCATATTAATAAATAATAAGTAGGCCTGTCAGCATTAATGCGTTAATCACGATGAGTTTAAGGACCGATCATACCGTGTTTTAATAGTGTTAATCGCGAGTGTCAAATATTCTTATTTTACACCGTCACTGGTGCCGTTTCCAAAGAATCTTTGCTGAAAAGATCTTTGGCTGCTACTATTTTGACCCTTCGATGCACCCTTACTTGTTGTCATGCTGCCACAGACACTTCCTACCTCCTGCTGCAGCCACAACAACAACAACACAGTCCCAGACGGCTCCGTTGACAAGTCAAAAGCAGGACGCGTGTGAAATGGAATTAAAGTATCATCAAAGCACTTCGAGCTTAAGCTAACGTTACCATCAACGAGCTAAGCATGCAGCTAGTACGGCTAATCAGGCTGATGCTAGCGGACTGAAGCAAAGCGCTATTTTGGAGAGTGCAAGTCATGCACATTGTCGTCGCGGGGGACAATTGTTGCACGCATACAAACGGAGAAAGCAGTCAAGCTGAAACTCCTACTTAAAGCAAGTGCTGTCTCATTGGTTTCAGCTGAACTCAAAAATAATGCAGCTATGGAGGATTTTGTTTGTTATGCACTTCATAATAACGTGTGTACGTTTTGTACATGCACTTTTGCTGTAGAATTTTTGAAAGCCAGCTTAAGGAAGAGTATATTTCATTTACAGATTGTTTTACCTCAGTCTCGTTACAGATCTTTTGATTTGAAATAATCAAATAAATCTAAATGTCAAGTTCATAAACTAACCTTCTTTGCATTAATTTGATTTCCAATCAAGATGCACTGGTAAGAATTGTTATCATTGTTAATACAGACTTAAAACAGTTTAGATATATTATAAAAATAATAGATTTTTATGTTGTAAAACATGCGATTAATCAAGTTTAAGAAAAAAATTATTGTTTGACAGCCCTATTAATGAGCTTTTTCAGCGGCGCTGGTTAAACGTTCACAGAGCAGCGGATACGAGTCGCCTCTATCCTGATTGGTTGTCAATCAGCTTGTAGCCCCGCCCTAAAGCCTCCCCTGCTTCCTGGTCTCTGTTCCTCTAAATGGGACCATAATTTACTAAATGAACATCATGCTGTGTTGAAGAAGACTTGAAACTAGCGACTGAGACCAGAAACTCATCAGGAAAGTGTTTACTGAGGGAATAAATCAGCTGACAAGTAGAAACATTTTCTCACAGACTTCTATACAATCACACTTCTTTCTGCAGCCGCTGGAGTCGCCCCCTGCTGGCTGGTTTCTAATCTCTGATTCCAGGTGTTGCTGCTGTGTGGAGGCTCAGTACCTGTTGTAGATGTCGTCGTCCTCTCCTCCCCAGCCCCAGTAGTTGTTGGGGAAGCCGTTGATCTTCAGGTACTGTTCTTTACTCATCGAGGAAACGCCTCCAAAATACTGATTATACGGTAACCTGCAGGACACAGAGACACATTCAGGGAACACGCTGCTCTGACCTCTGTGGCTGTAACGTCCCTGTGAAATCACTTTGACCATGTTAATACGTGTCTTTGAAAACACTTCCCAAATTGCAGCTTTACATTTCCTTAGACAGCAGAGGTAAACAATAAATGCAGCTTATATTCAAGCCAAAGGAACCAGAATTATACCCCAGTCCCATTCCACAGGATATAGTCCAGTTTGTAATGAAAACAAGAAACTCCAGTCCAGGATTCCTCGGTGGTCAGAACCAAAACAGCCCACTCCAGGAAATCTCTAAACAAGGACGTATCCCCCAAAACAGGACAGTTCATTACACAAAAAACAAACCTTTAACTCCGAACTAAAGAAACAGTAATAACGACCGAAACGTTTCTCGTCATGTCACGGGCCGTTTTACCGTAATGTAGCATGAATTTTGAGGAGAAGGAAAGTTAGTCAGTATTCAGCTGCTGTTTAATGCAGCGTGGCTCCATCACTGTTCTGACCCGGCTTCACGTGTCAAAGCACAAACCTTAAACCTTCGCACGCAAATCAGACGAGCAGCACGTCACCTTCAGCACCTGAACCAAACGTGTACATTTCAAACAAGTTGGGAAGAAAACATTAATGTATAAACCCAGTTAGCAGCCAGCAGGGACGCATATTTACCTTTGGAGGATAATGAAACTGAGATTATTCAGACTTTCACTCACTTGAATTAACCCTTTGAACTCTGCAATACAAATGGTCCATCAGTGCCTACTCTGGGATTTTTGCCTTCTGTGATGTCATTTCTTGGAGTATCTTTAAATGCTTCATATCCATAAAATCTGTACAACCTCAGCTAAAAGAAACCATAATAATTGATAAAAGTATTGATAAATAGTGTGGTAAATAAAAGAAATACAAAAATCGGGCATGTTTTCTCATAAAGGTTTACACAATAAACACAAAACACATTGATCCAAAATATTTCTAAATGTAGAAAGATGAACAAAATCGTTCACAAGTGATTTCAGCTGTGTACTTTTTTTAGTTTCTGAGATGTGGTCATTTGTATGAGCAGAGTGCAAAGTGCTGTATGTCTACTTCCTGTCATCTACTACTACTTAAGTCTGTTAGAGCTAGACCCTCTGTGTTAACTACGATCTAAACTATGCTAACGATGCTAAACTACTGAATCTCAGCGTTTCTCTCAGTCTCTCTGTGACCTGCTCAGCTGCTGCTGTGGCGCCACTTAGCTGGCGCCATCATGAGTTGTCACATGATTTTTCACCGCACATAACGAAACAGAAATGGGTCACCACAACGCGATGACTTGACTGACAGAAGTCGTTTATTCCATATACGGTCGTTTGTTCCATATACGGTCGTTTGTTCCATATACGGTCGTTTGCGCCGCACACGCTCAGTCTGTCTGTACCGCCCAGCTCGCTGGAGGAAACGCGGTCCTGCAGTCAGACTGATTTTAACAACAACAACAGGAAACCTCTAAAGCTTCTTTAGTCTGGTGTATCCTGAGAGGAAAAACTGCTGCAGGAAACAGGAAGCGGGGCGCCTGGCAGATGGTGGCGTTTCAGAGGAGATCTCTTCCTCTGTGGTGTCGCTGTCAGCACTTCTTCATAACACACATTCTCTATCCCCTCATGACTGGTAGTGAACTTGAAGCCACCCAGAGCTGATATCTCATCACCATCCGGTTTCTGCAGGGACTCAGCAGTTTCCTCTCACACAGCCCAGCGAGGACGCTGACGCTCGGCTGTGAGGTTAGAGGGCTGCGACACGCGAAGCTCCAAACCTTCAGTTTGTATAAAACATCAGCGCTTCAGCTGCGGATCAGAATCCGTTCACATCGACTGAGCATGTGCGTGCCGTTGTAAACAGGAAGCAGATTGTCTGAAGAAGAAAGTTCTACTGGAGACGAAACAGAGCAGGGTTTATGAAGAACCGCAGCAGAGACAGCGACAGCGAGGTGGAACGCTTACTGAGAGGAACACGGGAGGTCAAAGAGGCTGTGGCGGTAGAAACAGACTGGGAGTCGCCACAAAGCAAATACGGAGACAAGTGCAGAAGTGTTATTTACACAGTACAGAATATTTTAATAAAACTCTGTTTGACTGACTGATAAGAGCCAATCGGGAAGCCAAACGTGAGCGTCTGGACTATGTTTCAGTCTGGACGGGAGGCGGAGACGTAGCAGAAGGTCTGAGTGTTAACAGGAAGATGTAGGAGAGTGGGCGGGGCCTGAGTCAATTACTCCCTGAGAGTTTGAGGGAGGACAAGAGAGAAAGATAAACAGGTAGAAACATTCATTTATCATTAGTCATTAAGGAGTGGTGATGAGAAAGTGGATAAGACACATGCCTTTGGTGTCAGAGACCTGGGTTCAATTCCCACTGAGACACGTCCACTATTGTGTCGCAGAGCAGGTAACCCCTCGCTGCTTCAGAGGCGTGCGACGTCTTACAGACTGAGCTCGCTTTGGATAAAAGCGTCAGCTGAATGAATAAATGTAAATTTAGAGTGGCAGGAGGTTTGTGTTGCCTGATGCTCATTTCTTTACTAAACAAATAGAAAGCTGCCTGGAAAAGCTGCGTATCTCTGCTGTCTGAAGGATTTCACTTTTTAAACGTCATCACGTGTCGCATCGTCTCCACTTCATGAAGCTCCGGCTCGCAGATCTCTGGGTGGGATTTCTTCTGTCCTTAATGTCAGACGAGTGTTCAGAGACTGAAGGACACGACCGTCTTCACTGAGGCCGTGACTCAGTCTCGATGTCCCCCTGATTCCTGAACCCTCACAGACTGGTGAGTGCTGGAGCGTGAGAGCTGCACAGGCTCAAACTGCTGGAGACAGGAACAGGGACACCTTACCGACGCTGAGACTCGCTGCACAGTGGGACTTTTTATTTCAGGTTTTTTACTTTCTTCACGATGCTTCTTTCAGGCTCTCTCACCCTTCAGAGTGGCCGGGAGGTCAGATCTGTGTCAGTAATCTCCACCCAGTTCTGTCTGAACCATCAGTGAGATTTGGGTTTAACGTCGAGGGTTCATGCTAGTTTGTTTATTCTTCTTATTCTCTTGTAAAGCCAGTTTACCTGGATGTTTCTCTTGCATTCAGGCGTACCCTGGTGACTCCCATGTTTTAACAACGCTATGAAATGTGTGCATAAAGGGCTCAAAATGTCTGCAGAGAATCCTCGAGCACGATTTGACAGGGGGACGGGCCTGAACCCTGTGAGTCTGGGCCTGTGTTCAGCTCTTCAGCCTGCTGACACACAGACCTGAGGACAGCTACAACACAGCAACCAATAGGTGAGCTGGCTTATGCTGACATCATCACACAGTGTTTGAACTGTGGAATATTTCATTGGCATTAAAGGAACCGCTCTAAGCTGGTTTAAGCCCTATTTATCAGATTCCATAAGCTTTCATTGTTATGCAGATGATACTCAGTTATATCTATCGATCAAGCCAGATGAAACTCATCAGTTAGTTAAACTTCAAATGTGCCTTCAGGATGTTAAAACCTGGATGACCTGTAATTTTCTAATTTTAAACTCAGATAAAACTGAAGTTATTGTTCTGGGGCCTAAGCACCTCCGTGACGCATTATCTAAATATTGGCATCGCCCTGGCCTCCAGCACCACTGTGAGGAATCTTGGAGTTATCTTTGATCAGGACATGTCGTTTAAGTCTCACATTAAGCAAATTTCAAGGACCGCCTTTTTTCACCTACGTAATATTGCGAAAATCAGGAACATCCTGTCTAAAAATGATGCAGAAAAATGCATTTGTTACTTCTAGGCTGGATTACTGCAATTCCTTATTATCAGGCTGCTCGAAAAAGTCCATTAAGACTCTTCAGCTGATCCAGAATGCTGCAGCACGTGTTCTGACAGGAACCAGGAAAAGAGATCATATTTCTCCTGTTTTAGCTTCCCTGCACTGTAAGTAAGTAAGTAGACTTTATTTGTATAGCACCTTTCCCAGATAACAATAAAATGTAATACAATAAAAAAAGTAAACAGTCCAAAAACCATAAAAACCCCTCATCTAACTAAAAGCCTGCTTGAATAGCAGCGTCTTCAGTTGCTTTTTAAAAGCATTCCCCAGCCTCGGCGCCGCCGCTTGGAATGATCGATCTCCTCTGGTTTTAAAATGAATGTAGGAACCACTAACAGCCTCTGACCTGATGACCTCAGACGACGGGTCGGAGTATGAAGCTGTATCAGCTCAGATATGTAGGGAGGAACCTGACCGTGCAGGGCTCTAAAAGTAAGGAGCAGGATTTTTAACTGAATTCTATACTGGACTGGTAACCAGTGAAGTGCTGCTGAAAAAGGTGTGATGTGTGCTCTTTTGTTAATGTGAGTTAGAAGCCTTGCAGCAGAGCTCTGAACAGCCTGGAGACGGTAAAGCTCCTTCTTGGTCAAACAAGTAAAAACATGTGATCTAAAGCATGAATGATCATCTCCATCTCGACCTTTGACACCAGTGCTCTTAATTTGGAAATATTCTGAGCTCCTGAATCACCAACATCTGCTGCTTAATCTAAGGAATTCTACTGTGTTTCTGTTTTCTCTGAGTGGCTTCCTGTAAAATCCAGAATAGAATTCAAAATCCTTCTTCTTACCTACAAAGCTCTTAATGGTCAGGCACCATCTTATCTTAAAGAGCTCATGGTACCTTACTACCCCACCCGAGCACTGCGCTCCCAGAATGCACCTGGGGTTCCACATAGTTGAAGCCTTGTTCTCACTCACACGTGGCGGTACAGTAAACAGGAAACATTAGATGGTGCGTGGCGTAACGGTGTGTTCCCATGGCGGCAGCGCTGCAGAACACTAAACAAAGACTCATTAAACTCAGCAGCGTTCGGACCAGAGTCCTCAGGGGACCAATCGAACAGGGACCTGAGGAGCGAGGGGACACAAAGCACGACACAGATCCAGAAGGTGTGTGGTCTCACCTGAAGCCGAACTTGTCCATGGACACAGACAGGTGTCGAGGCTGGCTGAAACACTTGTAGGTGTTGCGGTCGTCCATGGGGATCAGGTCCACGTCGCTGAAAACAAAGCAGTCGTAGTCGTACTCCTTCAGAGCCTCGGCGTAGCCCACATTTAGGAGCTTCGCCCGGTTAAAGATCTCAGATCCGCCCTGAAGCACACAGAGAGACAGACGTCTGAGCTAAAGGACGTTTAAATTATCCAGTTTATGTAGAGAACGAACCTCCACATTCTGCGGTTTTTATTTCAACTTTGCAGACGAATTCTGACGAAATCAAAACGAAAATGAAAGACCAGATAAGAAATAACGTCTTTGTTAGACGCAGAAAAGGGCTGTTGGACCCAGCAGGAGAGTGATGGAGTGAAGGTAAAACAGCCAATCGGTGCTCAGCAGCTCTGGGAGAACCAGTCCAGGTGACCACATCATGAAGCTGACCGAGTGCAAAGCTGTCCTCAAAGTGAAATGTGAATCTAAAACACATTCTGGTTTAACACTTTGTTTCCTACAGAATTCGTATTTCTTCATAGTTTTGATGTTTTATTAATCTGTAATGTAGAAAACAACAACAAGAAAGAAAAACTGTTGGTGTCCAAACCTCAGACTGATACATATGCACATTATTTACTGTGCAAGAGTTTTAGGCATGTGTGGAAAAATGCTGTGAAGGATGTTAATCGATTATATTCATCAATTAACAAAATATACAAGCAGCTGTTTCACGAAAGGCGGGAAGGTTCTGCTGGTCCAGGTCTCAGCAGGCTGGGATCAGACCTGAGGCTCACGGGGTTTCTGCAGCTTCACACTCCTGTTTGAACTGTTCAATACTTTAACACACGGCACATTTATTATTTATTACAGGCGAGTCGTCGATTCTTGCTTTCTTCTGTTCTCCGCTCACTCCCGTGTCCACCAAAGTGTTTTTTACCAGCTGGGAGCGCTTTGGAGGCGCAGCGTTTTTTTTCCAAGACGCTGTGGTTGCTGTGATAAATAATATCCGTGCAGGTGATGTGCTGCAAGTAGGCTAGTTAATTTAACTGTGTAGAAAATGTCACCACAGAGCAGATAGCCCCCCCCCCCCAGCTCAGGCGTGCCCTCATTCACTCACTGATTAATAACACTTGATGTTTTGCTGTTGTGATGAGACGACGACTCCTCAGGTTTCTATCACCTGTGTGCCAGCAAACAGACCGCACCACTGCTAGGCAACCGACACCTGCGCCGAGCTCTCAGGTGGGTTTGGCTTATTACCTGCAGGACAGGCGGGTGAACTGGATGTCTGCGTGTTGTTTGTCCATGTTGACTCCACCTCCAGACTCAACAGGTCACTCTGTAGTACTCTAGGTCTTTACCCCCCACTGACAACATGGTTATGGATCTTATCCGTGTGTTTCTGTCTGCAGACCCTCAGAAACACACTGAAGAGTTCAATATGATGTGTGACGTATATCTGCATGTCCGTGGCTGCGAAGCCCACTCTCCTACATCTTCCTGTTAACACTCAGACCTTCTCCTACGTCTCCGCCTCCCGTCCAGACTGAAACGTAGACGTGTGAAAAAACGCTGCCGACAGGCGGAAACGATGACGCAGACGCTCACGTTTGGCTTCCTGATTGGCTCTTATCAGTCAGTCAAACAGAGTTTTACTTAAATACACTGTACTGTGTAAACAACACTTCTACTCTTGTAGTCTGCAGCTCTCCGTATTTACTCTGCGGCGACTCCCGGCCTGTTTCCCGCCGCCACAGCCTCTTTGACCTCTTGTGTTCCTCCCAGCAACAGAGGACGCGAACGGTCACATGAAGTGCGTTTTTATACAGACCGAGCTCAATTCTGACACGTAGCTAAAAAGCTGGTGTGATCGTAGCCTCGGTGATGGAGACCAGGTGGGTTTGAACTTCCTGTCTGTAAATGTGTTGTCTCCAGGTGATTCGGTCAGTATCCAGCTTCACACTGACTCATGTTCACATAATAAAATCAGGCACAAACATGAACAGATGTTCAGCTGGAAAGCTTGTACGTCCAGGTTCCCTCAGAACATGTTTAAACGGCGTTTTATGTGAGACGACCTCTGGTTTGTATCTGCTGCTGGAAACACAGAAAAGAGGCAGACAGAAAAAAGAGAAGAAGAAGAAGAAGCCCACTTTACCAGAGCTTAGCCAGCTCCAGCTGCTACTGGCCGAGACCAGGCAGGGGGCGGGTCTCAACGTCTCCAGCGACCACAGCCATTGGTCAGAAATGCCTGACATGCAGAGGGAGGAGGGAGCGAGGGAGTCAGAGTGAAATAAAGGAGGAGGAGGAGGAGGAGGAAGGACACAGACAAGAGAGAGAAGAACAACTGTGAGTCACAAACAAACAAACAAACAAACAAACAAAGTGCAGTGAGAAGACGACAACTTTACAGAATGTCTTTCAGGAGGACCGGCTCAAGTTCTGTTAGAGATCAGATCCGTGCAGGTAAACGGGGGGGGGGGGGGGGGGGGGGGGGGGTGATCTGCCCCAGCGAGGAGCAACTACTGCAGCACCCAGCGCCTGTTAGACATCTACCTGACAGGTGTTGTTAGTAGAGCTGAGGCTCCTTTAACGGGAACAGGTGCGTAGCGAGAGAGAGAGAGAGCGGCAGTGAAAGCGAGCAGAGGAAAAGGTTAGCGGGAAGTTGGCGTGTAGGTCAAAGCGTGTCCGTTAGTAAAAGTCTGTCTGTTGTTTCCCTGCTGGAAGTGAAGGCGGTTAGCGCTGGCTAACGTCTCCCCTGCGCTGGCAGCAGGAAAGCTGACTGTAGGTTTTCAGCTGCTACGTAACGTTAGCTACATCTGTAGGAAGCTAACGTTAATTCATCACGGTTAACGTTCGCAGCATGGTCATGGTTTTGTAATCACGTGGTAGCTCTCGGAGATTCCCCCACTGCTCCGGAGCGACCCTGCATCACCTGCACGCTGCCCGTCCGGGAAGATGGCCTCCATGTTGGCCTCCATGTTTACCTCCTCGCGACGGCGTGCCAAGTGTGACGTCACTTTCAGGCCGTGGCCAGGTCACGGGCCATGTCCAAAGTAATAAGTAATAAATGGGCCTGGAGCATTAGGACGTGCAGCGTGAACGCAGCCTTTGTTGCTTTAGGGAACACACACACTTTACAAACAGTCCTCTCAGTGTGTTTACACAGCTCGTCATGTTCACTGCAATAAAGGCCGTTCCAGGATGTTTCCAGGACCTCTTCAATGACCCTCCCTGAGCTCACAGGTCACTTCACGACGAGCGTTGCAGCCTGCGTCCCGTCATCCTTTTTGTTTACCCAGAAACAGCCATCGTATCGCTCTCGTCAAAGCCACCAGACTCCATTTTACCGGCGGCAGAGCAGCTCCTCCTGCGTTCTGTGAGCTAAAATTACTGTTTTTATCAACACAGTCTGGTGTCTGTGCCAAAAGATATACTGTGGGTTTTTCTGGTTAAACAAAAAGGATGTTACACTTTAGATAAAAGCCTCTCTCTGCAGCGCTCCTTCCCATGAAGCCGTCAGACACTTGTAATAACAGTGTTTGGCAGAAACAAGCTCATTAGTGGACGCACTTTGACCGCGAGGATTTCAGTTCAACACGTAGTGAAACCTTTTCTTCTGCCAGGTGTTCAGACTGATGTCACGCTCATGTCTGTAGGCTAAATATGAAGCCAGCAGCCACTTAGCTTAGCTTAGCATAAAGACTGGAATCAGCTAACTCTAACAAAGGGAACAAGCTCGTTTGGTTTGAAGTGACTGAAACACACTGTGGCTTTAAGGAGGGTTTGTGTCAGGAGCAGTGACTCGATTACCTGCACACTGAACACCTGTAACCAGGTACATTTCCCATAATGCACTTGGATAATGTCTGACGCTAACCTTCCCCCGAGGATTACCTGAGCTCCTACATGAAAACGTTCAGGAGCGTTTCAGTAACTATTTACACTGTGTGTGTGGGAAGCAGTGGACGATGGAAGTGGAGACCCTGCACCCTCTGATTGGCTTAATTACTAACTCGTTAATCATTCAATGAGTTCAACATTTCGAAAGGTTGCTGTGACACCTTATGGCCCGCCCCTTCCAGGCTGTGATTGACGAGCTCGTCGACTTTATTAAAAGCTGATCATCCTGAAATGATCATGAATCAAACGTAATATTCTGCCAGAGATCTGTGGGGGAGAAGTTTGTAACGCAGACCGTATGCAAGACAGGTGTAGTCTGATGACATCACTGTGACATCACAGCGTACCTGGTTGATGACGTAGACTCCGTAGTCCAGCTGCTGCCGCTGCAGGATGGGGTGCAGGTAGTACAGCCAGAACTTCAGGTGCTCGTCTCTGTTGCGGAAGGGGATGATGATGGCGACCTTCTGCAGCGCCACACAGTCTTTGGGTCTGAAGCGCCCCCCCCGGCTGCAGGTTGGGGTTCTCATCCTTGGTCTGCTCCAGAGTCACGGGAATGTTAAACTCCACCCGCAGGGGACCAACTGAGGACAGAAACAATCAGACTGACTGCAGGAAGAGTCAGAGCTGTTTGGGACACAAAATATGATCACTTCATCATTCATTTATTCATCATCATCATCATCATCACCACCACCACACACAACGCTGCTGTTAGAGCAGTCCTGAGGAGGGACCCACATCAAAACTACATCTTATAAACCTAACGAGAACCGGTTCTAAGCTGGAACTTACAACCGTGGTTCCTGACTTCCTGCATATTTCAGCAGCGCTCCAACTGAGCTGCAGAGAATTCTACAGTGTCACTGGGAAAACGCGGGAAAATGGGTTGAAGTCATTGTAGCGCTGCGTGCGGCTCGGTCGCGCTCTCACCGACACGCTGACCACGAACTGTGAACAGCCCCTCCTCTTTCTGCACAGTCTGAATCATGCGGTGGAGGAAGGTTGCCGGTGTTGCATTAAAATCTGTGACCATCACATTCTGTGTCTAAAGTCAAACCACGATCTTTTTCCTGAAACCAAACTGTGACGCTTCACAGCAGCGTTATCCGGACTTCCCATCTGGGTCACAGATTTTGGTGCAACACTGGCCTTTTCCTGCAGAGATGATTCCTGAATCAAACTGCAGCTGACTGGTTGATACCCTGAACACAAGTTCACTCTGATAGGTTGGTTCTGTTAGCATGTAGCACGTGAGGAGGCTAACGTTAGAAGCCAGCAGGTTAGTCCACGTGTGTCGCAGTGGAGGTTAAGTGTGTTTAAACCCTGGTGGTGTGCAGAGTGAGGAAGAGGTGCGCAGAAAGTGGCCCAGTTTCCTGTGAGTTTTCCCCAGAGAGCGAACAGGAAACCTCAGCAGGCTTCTCGCTGTGTAATCACACAAAAATGTTCCTTTCTGTACAAACTGCTCATTAACACTCAGTAATTTTCCATCCAGCGTCGGAGCTGATCTCACGTCTGGACATCAACAACAAACAGCTGCAGGGTTTACAGACGTCTGTGACCTCATGCTGGACGGACACATCTGGACTAGAAACCAGGAGTGGGTCTTCACGTCCGTCTGTCCACACTGAGCTTCAGAAAGCATGCGTGGTGCGTTCAGGGTCGCCTATACTGCAGTCAGCCCTCACAGTAACTGGATGACTCAAGTCCAGCGGTCACCCGTAGGACATGTGATCGTTTAATGACGCGGCGGTTTCACCACAAACTGCCGTCACAGAGGAAGGAGGTCCAGGGTTCAAAGGCAGCTTTCAACAACCACAATGACTTTATTTACATTCAATAATCCACACGGAGGTGTGGTCCTTTCCACACCTGAAGGCTTTACTGTCCGGGCAGGCCTCTCTCAGGGTTCAGACGCCTGTGATTTTAAAACGATCATCAGCTTTATGTTTCAGGCTCTCCTGTCTTTAACTGCTCCACACAGCGTTTCCTCAGCAGGTGCAGCTAAACGCTCTCCAGCCCCCCGCCCACATGAGATTAACGTTAACAGAAACTATTTTATCTTCCTGCTCTCCGAGGAGACGTCAGCCCACATCACAACACGTTGGTTTTCTCGGTACAGATGGATTATTAATCTTCTCCCAAAAAAGGAAAACTTTATAAAAATAACATGAACTTTTTAAGGACCTCGGAAACTCTGAGCTTTTAGTTTTGTGTTAAACTCTACTGTTCTGACATCAGCTGCGCAATAAAACAACAACCATAATTATCACGATTCAAGTTTCCTCACTAACAAAATAAGAAGTGTTCAACGTTTGATTGAATTCATGTGAATCACGAACGAATCAGCACTTAATGTTTCTAGTAAGGTATTTATTTTGTTGAGGCAAAGGGACTGAAAACAGATATTATTTAATTTTCCTCGTGCATTTGTTAAAACAGATTTTATCAGAATAGTTCTGAATGTTCTGCCTCAGATTAATTTATTGATCCTGTTTGGCATCAAGAAGAAAAGTTTAAAACCACTGATGAGCAAAAATCTGCCTTTAAACCTGAATGATCTGACTTTTATCCTGATAATTACTGATTTATCGTGGTAACGTTTTTGGCTCTACCTGGTTCCTCTACTTAATAAAGTTCTTTCTGATTCTGATTCTTCACAAACGATAAGAAATACTGAGAAGGGAAACGGCTTTGATTTAATCTGAAGAGCGGCAGAAGTGAAAGTGTGAGTAAACAAATTTCATTTCATTTCTCTAAATGTACACGGACGTAGTATTGCAGTACACACAGTACGTGTGAACAGATGTGTGTGAACAGACAAAGATGATCTGTCTTTCTTAAAATAACACTGGCACAATTTGAATGTTTCATAAAGACAAATTCAAGCTTTCGATTTCAGGACCTTGAAATTTCCTGGATTTAAATTTTAGAGCATTCGCCCAACTGTGAAAAACACAAGTCCAGCTGTGCACGGTTGGTGGGGGGGGGGTCACAGCTGAGGAAACAGGGACACCATCAGCTGATAACAAACAGCTCAGGGAACTGGACTCTACCAATCAATGGTTTAAAGAGAGACTGACATCATACAGACCAAACAGCTGCTCAATAATCAATAACTCTAAAGTTACTGCAGATTAATATTTACATTAGAAACATCTTCACAAAACGTGTTTTTATAAAAGGACGAAGCTTTGAGGAATGTCGAGTATTATTATACAAATAAAAACCACGAGTATACGCACTGCACGGTACACATGTGTACAGGTACTACACACCAGTACCACCGCTCAGGGCTGTACGTGAAAGAAAGAATAATAAGGGTCAGGTAGCCTGATGTGGAAGCGCCACAAACATCTCTACAATCTGCCTCCCAAAAGACACCAGCAGACAGAAGGCTCAGCAGCCAATCAGACGGCAGCTCTGAGCCCTCACACACTGACGAGCGGAGGCGAGGAGACGCACCAGAGTACGACAGCACGCCAACCAGCTAAATAAACGAGTCTGATGGATGATCAGCCGAACACGCTTCACACACGTTAGCGTTCAGCTCGGTTTTCAGTGTCACACCTTCATTCCTCCGTCAGTGTAAGCTTTACAGGAAGGTGAAGCCCACGTTCAACACCTTCCTGTAAAGCTTATAGTCAGGGCTGGCTCAGGTGAGTCCTGGAGCAGTCCTTTCTTACACTGCTATAGGCCTAGACTGCCAGGGGACTTCCCATGATGCACTGAGACCCCAAACCCCACCCAACCGGCTGAGGCAGCTGTTCATGACATCAAACAGAGGACGTGCAGAGCTGCTCTGTGCGAATCACCTCTGTTCTTAATCTAACCGACATGAGGCTGAGAGCCAATCAGAAGGTCTCACGTCTCACCTTATAAGAGACTCAGTGGATATATGTGAAAGCAGAGTTAGAGGTCAGTCTTACCTGTCGGACCTGTCGGGCGGCTTCCAGCCCCACTGACTCAAACCCTATCAGCTCATCGCTGCAGGTATGAGCCTCTGACGCTCCCAGCACCTCTGACTCCTGTTTGTTTGTTTAAAGGGGGAGGATGAAGCCGTTTTAGCCCAACCTGTGTGGTGCTCTGGCTTCCTTCATGATTACAGAAAACTTGGTCCCATCACTGTAACCCTAAAGGTCTTAAAGACGCCATATTCTGCTTGCAGCCCAAAGGGAGTTCCCGTCTCCCACAGAAAACTCTGCTCCTGAACTGAACACCGATGGATTTTCCGGCTTTGTTTTGGATCACACAACCTTGCTCGTCAGGACCCGCCCTACTCTGCTTCCGATTGGCTAGTAGTCCTTACCTAGGTACTGTGCATGTGCAACTCCAAACAAAGATCTAATATAAGTGAGATGCTTCACTCGGTAACTATAACGGAGCGTTCCAACGCGCAGGGTGAGAAGAGGAGCTGCAGTCAGAACATCAACCACGTGACCCTGTTCTGCTACTACCCACTGACCGTATATAAGAAGTGAGCGTAGTCATGGTGACGTCACCCGTTAGTTTGTGGACTGCCGTTTTGAAGCCTCGAGTTTGGCCGATAGGGCTGATAACTTTGTCTAGAGAACAACAGGCTTAAAACTAAATGTACTCACCAGAGAAAGTGAACAGCCGACTCCTAATAAGCTGGTAAAATTTACAGTGAAGTGGGTACGAATCACTCTAGCCTGATTGACAGGCCGCCATGGAAACGACTTGTCAATCATAGAATCCCGCCCTAAAGCCCCCCCTGCTTCCTGGTCTCTGTTCCTCTAAATGGGACCATAATTTACTAAATGAACATCATGCTGTGTTGAAGAAGACTTGAAACTAGCGACTGAGACCAGAAACTCATCAGGAAAGTGTTTACTGAGGGAATAAATCAGCTGACAAGTAGAAACATTTTCTCACAGACTTCTATACAATCACACTTCTTTCTGCAGCCGCTGGAGTCGCCCCCTGCTGGCTGCTGGAGAGGACGCAGGTTTCAGGGACTTCCGCTTCAGCTTTGCGTCTCAGACCGGAAGCTTCCTGTTCAGTACCACCTCTAATTAACACGATGAAACGGGCATTATCTTTAATAATGTTACAAATTCACTTGACAAGAAGAAAAGTTATGTAATGCTATTTTTATTGACTTGGCAAAAGCTCCTGATACATACACCAGTCTATCCCAGTGAACCCACTAAGGAGCCTTGGTTTTCCAATTACCTCAGAGTCCATAGATCAGAACATCTGCTGTCTAAGCCCCTACTTGTCACCAAAGGAGTACCACAAGGCTCTATTTTAGGCCCAATAGTGTTTTAAATAAACATAAATGACATACTGCGAAGTGACGGAGGCTGGTTTATCAACTTATATGCAGATGATACAGTTTTATATTCAGCTGGCTCCTCGCCTGAAAAGAGTTGAAGCACTCTATAACAATCTTTCAATTTAATCCAGCGAGCTTTCTCTGCCCTTCACCTACCAAATCACAAAGGTGTAATGAGTGTGGAACCTGAGCCAGTAAAAACATACTTGGTGAGTACTTGGGAGTCTGGTTAGACAGCACACTGTCCGACCGAGGTGATCCTCCACCCACCCTGCTGGACTCCCTCTGATTCAGATGACTGTTTCACCCATGCTAGACTTTGGTGATGTCGTCATTTACCTGTGTGCAGGTAAAAGGGCTTCTTGAGCAGCTTGATGTTCTCCATTACACAGCAGGCTCGTTTAGTTGTACTTCATTGTTCTGTTTACAGAAACAATAAAACTCTGTCACCACTTTTTACGGTCCAATCGCCAGCTCATTTACAGACACCTTCTTCACCTGAGGCTGTACGAACTGCTGAGCCTCTAGCTCTGGGGATTAGCTACAGACTTAGTTTGTTTATTCTTTCCTTTTGTTTCTTGGTGTCTCTGTACCTGGTTTTAAGGTGTTGTTGTCCCAGCACACTAACCCTACAGGGGGCCGTTGTCTCCGGCTGCCAGGCCATTATTGGAAATAAGAATCTGTTATTAATTAACCTGTCTGGTAAAATAAAGGTTTAATTTAGTTTTATTTATATAGCGCCACTTTATTACAAAGAGCAGATAGTAGTATTATCGTCCCACCATGAGCAGCACTACAGGAGTAATACGGTATGCTGGCACCTCAGACCTATCACTAACACCTCACCTGATAACATCTGAAATCAGAGTTTCACAGTGACTGTGGCAGAGCTGGATTCATCAGTCTTACCCAGCAGAGGTGATGTTTCCGGGCACTTCTCCAGAGTCTTCTCCGGCTCTCCTGCCTTCTCCTCCTGCGGCGGAAGCTCGGGGGCTTTCTTCTCGTCTGCCCGGTCCGCGGGTCCCTCTGGTTCTGGTTCGAGAGTGGTTCTTCCCGGGTTCAGTTGTGTGACAGCATTCCGGGTCTGCTGGTTCTGGGCGAAAGCGAACCGGATGTCCAGAGAGCGGACGTAGAAGACGACAGTGACGGAGATGTGGAGCAGACAGAGCAGCACCACCAGCTTACAGGTCCGGTGCAGGAGGTTGAAGTTGACGGTGGAGTCTCCGGCCATCCTGTCGGGAGCACTTCGGTGTTCTGGGAACTGCGAGGGCAGCGTTCACAAAGCGGAAACGTAACTTCGGCTCCGGCTCCCCGCTAGCTCGCTGTCACCGCTAGCTGCTACTCTCAGGATCCATTAACAGTATCGATCAAGTTCACGTAAAGTCTCCCAAGTTTCAGACACGGAAATTCGGTCAAACTCAAAACGAAAAGCTCTCAAACAGAAGCCGAATAACAAAACAAAGTGTCGTTCAAAGTTTAAGCTGTGTGTCGGTCAGATATCAGTTGAGCTAAATTAGCTTTCCGCCCGTTCACTTTTAAAGTGACGTTAACTGTTAAGGCTAACGGAGTTAGCCGCTCGGGAACTCCCGAGTCTCCGTCACCTGGATCCTCTAAAACACCGCCTGTGAAAAGAATAAAAATCTCCACGAAGCTCCGAAAACTACTTCCAATATGTGTCAACAACTAACATTCCTCAAATAGCAACGAAAGCGGCCGGTGTCAGAACAGAACCGAGAAGAAAGTTACGGAGAAACTCGACAAAGTTTCCTGCTGTCGCTGCTTGGACACCAAACGTCAAGGTGACGAAATCATCCGTTACATTTCCGGTTATGAATTTCAAAATAAAATCTAAAACGTGAAGTTCACTTTACCGGACGAAGCGAGCCACCAGAACCATTACGGACTTTTACACAGTTTAAGTCCAGACACCAGTCAACCTTTACTCACATAACAATGAAACTTAACAAGCTGACAGTTAATATAAATACAAGTTTTTTTTTATTATAATGTTTTATGTTTATTTTTAGTATGCAAATGAGGTGTTTCCTCATTAAATGTGTGCTGATTTACATATCACACAAATCCATTTTCCAGCACATTGTTCACACAAAGATAGATTTTTTTTGGTTTTAATGTACCAAACTGCCAGACCTGGGCTAATTTACAGAAAGGTTTATCAAAATATTGTGTTTTCATGGATTTATTCAAAATATTCCCCTCGTGTGTGACGGACCCTTTTTTCTATATATTTACAGATAAAATGAGAACCATAAAACATATTTAACAATACTTCTGTAAGCGTCTTGCTTTAAGACCTCAGAAACAGTGTGTAGAGTTATGATGATCTAAAATGAGGAAAATTACTTGGTACAGGAAACATGTCATCTTGAGAAAACAGCTGTTAAAGATTAACTAAGGTAATAACTTTATTGTCAATTCTACCATGTACAAGTCACACAGAGGATTAATATTGTGTTTCTTCATGACCCACGGTGAATGTAAAACAAAAACAATAATATAAATTAATTAATTTGTCACATGAACACATCTCTTATAGATATCTGATATTTGGACCTGCTAACATTGTGCTCTAGAAAACAAACTTTCAAATCATATATGATTCAATACGGAGAGTTTTAAAAGACCAGTTGAACATGTAAACTACTACTAAAAGAGAGGAAATTTACTCAATCTAAAATAGACAAACAGTATTTAAGGTTGTTTTGTGCATTTTATGAAAGTCTGGCGAAAATAGTCTGAAAATTGTTTGCGGACAAGATTGTGGACAATTGATTAATAAACTGATAAAATGAATCAGAAAAACATTACAGGCTCTCAGGTTATATATATTTATTTATTTACCTACCAACTTATATTATTATTTATTTTCCTTGATGTGTGCAATGGTGACACAAGAATTTCCCCTTGGGGATCAATAAAGTATTTCTGATTCTGATAAAAGTCCTGTTACTCTTATCACAGCCCACCTCCAAGTGGTACGCTTTTACTTTGAAGGTAGAAGCACCGCACTTCCGGGGCGTTGGAAGCAGCTTTGAGTAGCTCGAGGAAGGGGCGTGGCTCTGCGTGTGTCCATCAGTGACGACACGTTACCGCCCACACATCAAAGACTGGTGAACTCTGATCATCTGTGGGCGCTTCTCAAGTCTCTTAAAGGCATCCACGTTTCCCCTCACTTGCGTCTTTGCGTGAACCGAGCCAGGAGGGAAGGGATGAGCAGCTGATCACAGATGGATCAGCTGTCAGTCGGCTCTAACAGCTGGAGAGACTTTTAATGGAGTTTGTGTCTACAGAAATGTGCACTGTGTTGGTACTAATAAAGTGTCAGTTCTCAGTGCAGAGCAGCTTGATTCTCTGTTACCTGCTTAACAAACACCTGCACATGAAAAACTACAGGTTACTGTATGTCCTGCTCACAGGATCATTTCTACTGGCACAATGCTGATATTATCTGCATTTACATTATTGATTCTGATGTGAATTCATTATTGAATATTTCACAATATGATCATGGTGTCTTGGGATTTATTAGCCTAAATGTTTCAAATTGAAATGATGGAACTTGTATCAAAGTTGACGCTCAGTTCTTTGGCTTTCCGTTTATTTCCTCTTCTGAGATCCTTTAACACTGCTGCATACATTTTATTTGCAGGTCACATCACTCGTCACAGATCGATCGCTGCCTTCCATCATATCAATCCAAGCTTCTTTTTTTGTCATTCATACTTTCATCAGCTGATTTTACTCGCGGAGCCGCCGGCTGCTTTCATCAGATGATTTGCTCGCTTCATTAGAGACTTTGGTGCAGTTTTGTGTCTGACTCCTTACGTGTTTACTATGTTTTATCGTCTTCTGTTTGGACTAAACTCAGGAATGAGCAGTATGAGCTGTATGCAGATGACTTAGTGTTGCTCTCACCTAATAAAGAAGGTTTGCAGCAGCACCTTAATCTCCTGCAGAGATTCTGTCAGACCTGGGCCCTGACAGTAAACGCAGCAAAGACTAAGATAATAATCTTTCAATACAGAAATCAGGTTACACACAATTTCTATTTAGACACCACTAAATTAAAACACACAAAAAACTACACTTACCTTGGCCTCAACATTACATACAACTTCAACATCTAGCTGTGAAAGATCTGAGGGACAAAGCAAGGAGAGCTTTCTATGCAATAAAAAGAACCATTAAAATATATATTCCAATTGAAATCTGGCTTAAAATTTTCCAATTTGTACTAGAACCAACAATTCTATATGGTAGCGACATCTGGGGGCCAAAACTTAATAATGAATTTGACAAATGGGACAAAACAATCATAGAATCTTTCCATACTGAGCAGAGCTCGGCCAATATCCCCTCCTACTAAAAATACAGAAAAGATCACTTACATTTTACAATCACTTAAAATCAGTTAACCCCCAGACATATCATCACAAAGCCCTGAGCTGAAACCAGAGAAGAGTCCCCTCAGCCAGCTGGTCCAGAGGCTCTCTGCAGTAACAAGTCCCCAACAGCCTCAGGACAGCAACACCAACTCAAGCAGACCAAACCAAATTATCAGCAAGCAGAAAGAAAAATATATTGAATACTGGAAAGAAACGATCAAAACACAAAATAAATTACAATGTTATCTGACCCTAAAAAGAGAATTCACCCTGGCAAATTACCTGAGTACAATAAAATGTCCCAAACTAAGAAAAATGATGACAACATACAGACTGAGTGAACACAGCCTGGCCATAGAAAAGGGTCGTCACAGACAGAGCTGGCTACCACAAGTGGAGAGACTCTGCTCCCAGTGTGACAGGGGACAGGTAGAGAGACAGAGGACAGGTAGAGAGACAGGGGACAGGTAGAGAGACAGAGGACAGGTAGAGACTCAGAGGACAGGTAGAGAGACAGAGGACAGGTAGAGAGACAGAGGACAGGCAGAGAGACAGAGGACAGGTAGAGACAGAGCTGCACTTTCTAACCTCATGCCCCAAATATAAAACACTAAGACAAAAACACTCCCAAATATACCCCGAATTTGAATTCATATCAGACACACAGAAACTCCCTTATTTACTGGGAGAAATGCCCAAATGTGAAATAATTGCTGCAAAATATGTCTCCTCGTGCCATGAAGTGAGGACAACCAGTGGAACCTCAGACTGATAAATAATTGTACAGCCTGCATGTCTGTAGACTCAGCTGGGATTAAATTAAATGAGAAAAGTTGATCTACAGGAGAAACATGTCGGACAGCAAAACAGATTTGCTGAAATGCTTCACATGTGACTGAACAGAAATGAGGATAAATGATGTAAAACGAGATGATGTTTCTTGCTGACAGACTCTCCGACTCTCTCTGACTTTAACTGTCATAATAAAAGCTGATGGGAGAAATAGAAAAAAAGATCTTTCTAATAAATAAATAAAGTTGTGTGTGGGGCTTTTGTTGTTCTGACCTACAATGAAGACAGATTTTAACAAGACAGAGAATCATAAAACAACTCAAATATAAAACTTTGCAGCGATGCACTTGAGTTTATTGTTTCTGTCCTGATGCATCAGATCAGCCCGATCAGCCGCAGCGTCCAATCAACATAAAGGGCCTTTATCATTTCCCAAATTTCCACCTCCTCGATCCTCGAGGAGTCGAGGAGCATTTTAGTCCCGCCCACCCGAGATGCGAGCTCGAGGAGTCGAGGAGGAGACGCGAGGAGAGGAGTCGAGGAAACACGCATGTAACGAAATGAGATGTCCTTTCCTCGGAGCGTCATTTTAAAGCGACGTCCATTAAATGTGACCTGTTGCACAGCTGCATCATCTAAACTTTACAGAAAAACTCAAATCTATGGCAGAGGAAATTGGTATCATGAATTTGAATGTACACTCACCTAAAGGATTATTAGGAACACCTGTTCAATTTCTCATTAATGCAATTATCTAATGAACCAATCACATGGCAGTTGCTTCAATGCATTTAGGGGTGTGGTCCTGGTCAAGACAATCTCCTGAACTCCAAACTGAATGTCAGAATGGGAAAGAAAGGTGATTTAAGCAGTTTTGAGCGTGGCACAGTTGTTGGTGCCAGACGGGCCGGTCTGAGTATTTCACAATCTGCTCAGTCTCGATTTCTGTTGAGACATTCAGATGGTAGAGTCAGAATTTGGCGTAAACAGAATGAGAACATGGATCCATCATGCCTTGTTACCACTGTGCAGGCTGCTGGTGGTGGTGTAATGGTGTGGGGGATGTTTTCTTGGCACACTTTAGGCCCCTTAGTGCCAATTGGGCATCGTTTAAATGCCACGGCCTACCTGAGCATTGTTTCTGACCATGTCCATCCCTTTATGGCCACCATGTACCCATCCTCTGATGGCTACTTCCAGCAGGATAATGCACCATGTCACAAAGCTCCAATCATTTCAAACATGACAATGAGTTCACTGTACTAAAATGGCCCCCACAGTCACCAGATCTCAACCCAATAGAGCATCTTTGGGATGTGGTGGAACGGGAGCTTCGTGCCCTGGATGTGCATCCCACAAATCTCCATCAACTGCAAGATGCTATCCATCAATATGGGCCAACATTTCTAAAGAATGCTTTCAGCACCTTGTTGAATCAATGCCACGTAGAATTAAGGCAGTTCTGAAGGCGAAAGGGGGTCAAACACAGTATTAGTATGGTGTCCTAATAATCCTTTAGGTGAGTGTATGTCCACCAATATGTCGTCCAGATATACCTTCATGGTTGATCCCAGATCCCAATGTTGACCTATATTTTATGGAAACAAGCAAAAGAAATATG